TTCCCTTCCTGCTTTTCCTTTTCTATTCAAGACTTCAAGACCCAAAACCCAAATTTCATTTAGGAATTTCATAGACAAGCTGTGATCCACAGAGCTCTGTTGGTCACTGTATCTAAGAACAAATCTTACAAAACTGTCAAATGACTTCAGATCTGTAAGTCCAGGGCTTTGACCATGGATAGTTTCTAAGTAGGTAGTTTCTAAGCATCACAAAGCTGAAGTTCTAGGTCACCTAGTGAGAGCTGTGGAAGATGATGTCCATGTTGGCATTTGGAAGCTAAGAATATGCAAATCACCTGGACCATTATGGGCAACTTCTATCAAGTCAAAGAATTCATTTCCCTGAACTAATAGGTGTGTACAAAAGAACACTTCAGCCAACATTGAAGATGATAAAAAAAATTATGTGCTTGGTCTTCCCTGACATGGACTTCAGTGAATACAAGTGGGTTTTGTTTCCATAGAATCACAACAGACTTAATTCAATGAGGAAGAGTTGAATTTATTTTTTTTAATTTATAAATAAATATCTCCTTCTAAATGTATTATGAAATGCTTTCGGAAAACTAAACATGTTATATATATGTTGACTTTTTCTTAAAGAAATCAAAAGCTGATTTTTCATTAAGCCTCTATCTTAAAAAAGAAAAAAAGAAAAAAAGTCATTTTCCAACATAACTTTCAACCAGCTTTACCAAACCCAAACGAAATAGCTAAATGCATATCACCTTAGTCTCACTCCAGTGGACAATCTTAATGGATCATCTACTCTGATGTTTTTCAAGACAGAACAAGGATGCTTAACCAGTGATTTCTGCATCAATTTCATAATTCAAATTGAATTCTTGCATACCGTTTCCCTGCCAGTCTGCATTAATGACTGCAGATAGAACACCTACATATCTATTCTGACTTCACTGCTGATGTTAAAGACCTCTGTCTTGTTGCCTGAAGTTAGAAGATGATGAATTACATTCTTTATCTCAGAACTACAGATAAAGGAGTAGTACTCAGACCTTCCAGCTGAGGCAAAACTGGTGAAATACCCCAGTTAAGCTATAAGAAAAAAAAAACCAAAAAAACCCCACAACTTTATTCTGAAAATGTGATTCTGGCAATAGCTTTCAAATGTCCAGATAATCTTCTTGGGGGCTAAACATTTCTTCTGGAAAAAGCTGGCCTGTCAGAGTGAAGGGCCGCATATTCTTAGCTTCAGATGGCCATGGCTTTTGGAAAAGAAACAACTATGAAACCCTTAGAGTGCAGACTGAGAAAAGATTGGTTTATGTGTTTGCTTCACCTTTTAAGCTACATCACTGATACATAAGAGAAGGCATCTATCAAATACTTCTCCTCGTGTTTCTTTTTTCCTTCTTTTTTCTCCTCAAGATTTCACAATGATGTTACTACTCAAAGGAATCTGTGAAGGCAAAAATCAACCAGTATTTTATTTTTCCCATAAATTGGCATGCAAATACAAGTCAACTTTTATGCAGGAGGTTGTATCCTCGTAAAACATGGAACTGTTGACCTCTGCCTCTTGTCTTAGACTTTTGATCTCTGTGGCTCTGTTGAAGTCTGCTTTTTTGAATTTCTCAGCAGCTCTGTTTTGGGGGTCTTTCTTTAGGACTTAGTTGGCTCAGCAAGGCATGCTGTGCTGGGGCTTTCAGTGCAGAGGTAGCTAGTGCTGCATGCTGACATCAGTCCTGATAATGTCATTCTCACCAGGAGGTGATATGTTTCTATGTGAAGTGCCAAGTCCTAAGTAACTCCATCTTAGTTCAGTGCCTTCATTTTTGTGCTGGGGTAGCTAGTTACTGTTACGAGAGAAGAGGATACTTATGAATTAATGACACTGAAATTGAACTTTATAAAGGAATTATAATATACTGCATTTTTTTTTCTTCTTTGAAGTCTATGTTATCTTGAACTCCAACATTTCAGGTTTTGTTCAGACTTGCAGAATTTACTGCGCATGGGGCCATACACTACAAATAGTCGTATTGCACATAATGTCTCTCTTTAAAGAGGTAAAATTGCAGCAAGGTTTCTCTTCAAGAAGCCTACCTTTTTACTTAAGGTAATAGATTCTGGCTGTAGAATTCAAAAGATAACAATAGAAGCCATTCTTCTTTCAAGTTGCTTCTTTTTCAGGAATACCAGTGAGATAGATAAGGCTCCAAGCTTATCAAGCTCAGCACTTCTTGCATCTGGTGTATGAAGACAGGGTAGCAATGGTTTAGAATTGAGGAAGTGCACTTGGGGAGAGCATACAGTGGAGATGAAAAAGGAGTTGTTAGGGATATTTTACGCTGGTGTTGGAAGGACTACACTAGCAAGGTTTTAATGAGGGTGAGAATCAATCTCTGCAGCAGGTAGAAGCAGTCTAACATTCCATCTTGTGCTCATGGTAGAATAGGTTCAGCCAGCCTTCTCGGATGGAGGCATTGCCACTGCTGCTTTTCTTTCCAAGGTCACATCACACCAGCTAACCTGCAGCTGCTGGAAACGTGCCATTAAGTGGTACTCAGGTCTCTCTCAGAGACCTGATAAATACCATCAGCAGATAGTCGCTGCACCCAGCCTCAAACAAAAAATGTTTACAATGAGAGAGTTTTTTTCTCTTAAAATGGTATGGTTTTTGCAGGATAAATGAGTGGAATGCTTCACCGGTGTGATACAAAAGACAAGTAAAGTTCATCTGAGTAGTTGCAATCACTTGTAAAGAAGGTGTGTCCTGTGGTGCTGCATCTTGGCTTCTTCTTTAACTGTTCACTCAAACATGTACAACATTCAAAGAGAGATAAAAAGATTTTGGATTAGAGAATAGGTCACTCGGTTCTTGATCACCTTTAATCACAGCTGAGTGAAATTTTTCATGGGAACCTTTTTATAAGGGAAAGTCAGACTTAAAATGTCCAAACTTTTCACATATTTGAATCAGTTTCCTTTCTGTTTTTCGTAGTGATTATAAACCGCTTGAGCTACAAAATGTTTTTTTTTAAAGAAAAAAACAGAATTTGAGGGCTAAGATAACTGTTTCAAAAGTTCCACCTCCTCCCCCTTTTTAAAGATTGTAATCCCAGGGAATCGAAGGAGGTATACAGACTTTGTAAAATGAACTTTTCTGAAGGAACTGAAATGGTCATTTCAGTTTTTAATTTTTATTAAAATATCTGATTTACTTTCATCACAGATTATAATGCTATCTTCAGAAATTTGGAGCGGCAATGAACTAGAATTAGATTTGTTACTGTGCTGTTTCCCGAGTACCTTGATAGTATGAGCGCGTTGCTCATTATAATTTTTAAGCACCTTTTTCAGTGTAGTTGATATCACTGTTTCTGCTCCTGCTTCCTTCAGTTGGTGAGAGAGGTGTAGCTTTTGAAACTATCAGCATGGGAAGTTATTGGAGAATTGTAGGAACTGCTCACTCAGGGCAACAATTTTATCTGATATTTTTCTGAACTTATGAGCTGAAAATAATGGAATTATACACATTGACACCCCTTGAGGATTTGACCATCAGATCCAGTCATTAAAAAGGTCTTCACATATTTATCCTACTTATGTCAAAACTTGAAATGAAAATCACTTTGGATAACACTAGCTTACATTTTTTTCAGTTGTCAGAAGCTACTTTTGATTTAGCACAAACTGTCTAAAGAGCAGTCTAACTCTAGTTAAGTCTAAGTCTAAGTCTAACTTGTTTATGATTTGCATGTCCTTAGTACTCTTGCAGAATTCTTTCATCTTACAATATGTATGCAGTGACAAAGAAACATACAGGAAACCTGAAAATATAGTCTGAAGGCTATGCCTTCCTGATGTGCTCAGTTGTAGCTGGAGAACAGGTTCAGAAGTTATCAGATAATTAATACATTTATAAGCCCACGTCAGCATCAGAGGGATCTGCAATCTTGAAGATTATGTGTTTATCTTACTATGACTTTAGAAGACTGATTTGCAAGTGAACTTAAAAAATTCAATGCAAACGCATAATTTTAGAGACAAGGTTGAATCACTTCACACCCCAGTTGTGGTATGTCCTTCAGTGCATGAGTAGTCCCACTGGCTAGCAATAAGGCTACTTAGGTACTTAATATAGTATCTGACTTCAGATTAGATTGCAGAAAACAGCCCATAGGTTATTTGTAAATCAAGACTTTGAATTTGCTCCTTCAATATTTGGCATATTTATTATGTTTATAGCATTTCTAATACACATGCAGTGTATTTAATCATAATGTGCTGCTTCAAATAAAAGTAGTATTTAAGATAGTTCATTTCTCTTCGTGTCACTTAAGTTCATGACTGAAAATGTTTCTTCCCAAGATCATGAAAATCTTGTATCCGAGTCTTAGTCAACTCTAAGAATAAATGGTTGAGGAGCAGATCCTTTTACATGGGTCTCCTCATTCCCATTTCTGATCTTTGCTGGAGCTCTGCAGTTGTGTTTCACATTCGTGAGCATCTGAAACATATTTCAGTTTTGCATTTATTTCTAATAAGTGTATATTTTTTGATCAAATCCATTAGTTAATTTCCCTTGAACTGTTCTTTTCGATACAGTTTTTACCCAAAGTTAAACATTATCCTTCAATTTTGAGCAGAACAGGTTTTGCAGTCCATAAAATTAATTTTTGCTAAAAGCTTTTTGCGTAAAAATATTTCTGACATGACTGAATAGCTGGGCCATTATTAAAATGTTGTCTTTTGGAAACAGCAACGCTTCCACATGGGCTTTCACATAGGTTCTGTATTTTTAATCAGCTACTGCTTTTATAAAAGGCATGCAGTGCACAGGAGAGTGGATTCACATGTCCTTTTCTGTTCATGCACACTGGCCTGTGGACTATAAATGGAACAAAAGGATGAACTTCAATGAGCACTTGTGAATTTGCAAGATAAACATGTGTTGATGAGTTAGAACTTTGTTAACATGCCTGAAGTAGTTTAAATAAAGACTGTGTCACATATATTTTTCTTGTTATTTTTAGAAGTCCAGCTCCAGTGCGACCTGAAACTACGCCATCATCTGGCCCTCCAGAAAAGCAGGAAATTAAAGTTTCTCGTGTGAGGAAGTTAACAAGACAGTACAGCTTGTGAGTAACATATAATACTGTCTTCATGTTTTTGCCTGGTACAGCTGTAAAAGAAGGAGATGCTAATAATTGCTCTAGCTATGCTTTCTGAAAGGCGTGAGTGCAATTACATGATAATGATCTTAGGCTGATACCATTCCTTTCATCTCTGAGAATCTTAAAGCTTTTAATACTCGGTGAATTTGCCATCTCTCTGCAGTTACTAACTTCTGATGTGCAGCCCCTTTGCTTTTTTTTGGAGCTTATTGATTAGAAATTAAAAATCTCTTTTCCACATGAAATGTCAAAGACCTGGTGTGAGTTGGAGAAGGCTGCTCTATCTGCTTCATTACAATCCCATTTGCAAAATGAGGGAAACAGTCCTTAGCTGCTGGGTGTTCAAGCTGTGTTCAGCCATTCCCTCTGGAAAGAGTGAGTGTTCTGTCTCTGTCTCTCTCTGTAATTTGGTCACATGCGGAAGTTACTGAGCGTGCTACAGCTACAGCTATGGCAGCTAAGTTAGGCAGGAGTAATCTGTGCCTACAGAGATTTGGCATCCCATTTACACCCAATTCATCTAATGTTAGAGTCTAGGGATAAACATGGAAATTAGTGTGTTGATTTGTCCTTCACATGAACCATCAAAACCATCAGATGGTTCAGGTCATTGGAAACTAGACGATTGAACAGAGTGGAAAACCAAAAAAAGAATAAAAAAGAAAAGAAATAAAAAAGAGTATTAGCATAAATTTACTAATAGAAGAATGGAGAAAAAAAGTTATATATGCTTTCTCTGCGGAACTGTTAGTACATATAGTAATTGAACATTCTAGTGCCACTAAATATATAGCACAATCAGCAAGATTTCCTCCCATCCCAAAGGTTTCTAGTAAATGTCAATATGTAATTATTTTCTGTCTCATTGTCAATAATGCTGGCTTTTGATATGGAACAAAAATAAAGACCTACGTCACTAAAACTGAAAAATTATTTAGGAGAAGAAACAGAAGAATGAATCAAATTGAGGGTAGAAGCTAAAGAAGCATCTAGCCAAATCTTTACTTGTTCAAGAAACCAAGGCTAACATATGAGAGTGCAGCCACAGCTTGGTAAGCAGACCATGACAAAGCTCATTTACTGTGCATCAGCCAGTATGGTTTGGAAATGAGACCAGAATTGGGAATTGACCACTCAGGATGGGAAGAGAACTCAGATTCCCATCCTATCTTGCTAATTCTGAAGGTAATGCATGACAGGTAACTTGACAGCATTTCCTAGGAGTGGTTTCTCAAGGTCTGAAAGCCTGTTTACTCACTATGCCCAGCAGACCTCAAGCACCAGTAGGCTTTTTCTTGGATGATACACCATTTCTACTATCCTGTTTTCTACAAGCCAGGAGAAGGAAGTTCCCTACATATTCAACGTGCTTCTGATTTGTTGGATTTTTATATAATGCAGGGATTTTTACATAGTAAGAGAAATGGCTGTGACACTGAGAGGATCAATTATGCTATGCTGTGCACGTAGCAGATAATGAAGAGAGCATGATAGCTGATGCTCCTCTTTGAGCACACTAATGTGCAGACCTATTACAGGCATAGTCACAGGTTTTGTATGCATACTTGGAAGATTGTTTGATTTGAGCTTTAACCTACAGGAATTGTTTAACTTGATTCTCCAGTACTACTAGATGCAAAAAAAAAAAAAAGAGAGCAAGATTATGCCATGTAGACAATTTTGAGTTACAGATACTTCAGTGACACTATGTATGCCAAAACAGAAGATTTGCCATGGGACTAATAAAGTAAAATAGTAGGATAAGCTAGTTTTGAGAATAGCAAGAGAGTTAGAAATCAGTGATTAACTGTCTGAGAAAAAAAAATTTCACCAGAGTAGGGTGGGACTGCAAAAGCTGTATTTACCTGTAAATAGAAAGTGACCGCTAAAAGAGGCTAAATGTTGGTAATTGGACATAGAATAATGAAAATAAATATGTCAGGGTAGGCAATGAAGACAACTAGTGCTCAAACTTTTAGCTAGCGTGTTGATAGCTTGGTAACTGATAAGACTAAAGCCTAACACTTTAGCTTGCAGATCTGAAGAAGCTGTTCTGAACTGGCAAGTTCTTGACAATTTTCCACTTCCTTATATGCAATAGAACAGCTTTACCCAGCAAGGATGGAGAAGGTGCCAATGTGTTCCTACTGAGTGTAGGGAGCAAGAGCTGAGAAAATGTCAGCTACATGTTTCTGAAAGAGAGATTAAATAGGTCAACAACCAAAATTTGGCTTGTTAAGAAATTGCATACTTAGTAGGTCCAAAAGATTTTTGCATTCTCTTTCCAGAATGCAAACAATGTATTGTATATGCTCTGGTGATAATTTCTAGCCTTTCCCAGAAGAAATAAAAAATGAACCATGAAAAAGATAATATTAATGGCCATACCTTTTTATCATAATAAGAAAACATAATGTTGTCAGTCAAACAATCCATCACAGGTCTGGATACTCTGTATGTAATGTAGTTTTGAAATGTTGTTTTGCACATCATGCTGACTTCAGGTAACACTAAACCAAATTCTGCTAGTGTCTGTCAAACTGGGATGGCAGGGTTCTGTGCACTGAGACTATTTAATTGGTAGTTAAAATGTATGCCATCTTCTGAGCAGAAAAGAAGTCATTTTTCCCCATGCTTTAAACTGTCAAACTGTAGTCTTTCCTTTTCACATGTCATTCCCACTACTAAAGGTTCTGTAGGCCAGATTGTAACTGCTTATTTCTGTGCAATTCCAATTAGCAACTGGAAAAATTCTGACCCTGGGCCAACTGATACCAATGATTTGTAGCCAATGGGGCTCTACAAAAGTAGATGAAGGTAATATATTCTCTGTTTCTCATTTAGTGGTGAGGTTAGGTGAGATGGAAAGAACTCAGCTTGCTGAACCGAGGGAAAGGGAAGTGTACAATGTGGTTTTAAATAAAATCTTTTCTTTGTAAACTGAATAAATGGGACAGAAAAAAAAACCACATATATTTACAAGAATTTTTCTACAAAGCACTTTTCTGGAGTTGATCAAAATCCTTTTAAAATCAGTTTGAAAATGATATTATGGACTACCTGTGTAATGAGTGCCAAATTCCCCTTTATTGACTTAAGCCAATAAAGCAGTCAGTCTCGTGGATGGATCTAACCAGATCTGTTATTATCAATAAAGCCAGCCTCTGTAGAAGAGAATATCAACATTAAAGTAGAGTAATATCAAATAAGTTTATGTATTCACATAAACATGCTCCATAGAAACACTGCTTACACATCAGAACTATTAGATTTCCATTTGTAGATGAGAGTTGACTAACTGACTGACTTTCATGGAATCTTTAAAGCTTAATAAATTTAATTTAGTTGGAAATTTAGCTATAAATACTGCATTACAAATGGAAGAGTAAACGAACTCCAGTGCCTCTTCCAGAACAGTTACAGTTAAAAGTCAAGCCATATTTTCTAATGAGAAGATCTGTCTGTTTTTCTCAACTGCAGTGATGAAGATGACCTTCCTCCAGCACTGGCAGCAGCAGCAGCAGCATCAACATCTGTATCTTCAGCATCTCCTGGGTCACAGAAAATGTGCACACCACAGACATCAGAAGGACAAACACAGCTTTCACCTGGTGGCAAGGTAAGGTGCAAAGAGATGAGCTTATGTCAGTTGGAGAGCATTTAGGAAGGCTGGGAGGAAGTTGCAAGTAATATTTTTCTTAGATGAAGTAATTCTAAATTTCAGAGTAGTTTTCAGTGCTTAGTTGTGGCCACATGTTTAACCTATGTTGTAAATACAACTGCCAGAAAATGTTCAGAGCCTCCTTGAAGACCCAACTGAAATCAATAATAGGTTTTCACAACCTTGGAGGTCAGTAGATCAGGATTAAATTGTTCAATTTGATCTCAAATTTGCATGGTTTTGTTTGTCTGTCTCTCCTGAGTAGCCATATTTTTAAAAAATGTGTGCAATTTGAAATCCATTTGGCAATTTATGCTTTAAAGAATTAAAAACAAAATGAAACAAAACAGCCCCACCGTAAGATTACAGAAACTAAATGCTTTTTCAAAGCTGAGTTTCTCCTTCATTTTAGAGTTCCACAGATGCTGGAAGTACTTTTGCTCTGGAGCCAGGTGACCTTCTGATGGATTTCACAGAGGCCACACCTATGGTAAATAATTATAGTTTGCGGCCAGAAAAAATGTGAAAGTTTTCAATAATTTGTCTGGAGCTGGAATGAATGGGATGCTATGCAGCATGTTGGATAATGCACAGGAATTAAGTAAGTTTGCTTGATTTTCAGTGGTCCTGAGCACCTGTCAAACTCAGCTCAGCATCTCAGAAAATCAGTCCACATCAAGAAAGCTGAGATTTTGAATGGGGTTCTTTATTGTTGGATGGCTTTTCATTTCTCTCTTCTTCCTGAGTATCTTTACGCCTTGCTGCACTGGTTTCTCCAGCCTCTTTTGTCCCTTTAATGTAGATTCCTACTACAATCATAGACTTGCTTTTAGTAGTTTTCTGGAAAGTTTATTCTTTTCAACACAAGTTTCATTCAGGCCTTATCCAACAGCCAAATCAAAGACGTGTACATGCACTTCTGTATTTCATTAACATAGTGTTGTGCTTCAGTTTGAGGCAAAATAGGCTATAACATGTTGATTATTAACTTCATTTTCTAGAAGTATGTGATCTGTGTTTTTAGTTAAAAGCAACGGAGATATGCTGTCCCACTGAAATCAAAATGGTTCTTGATTTCAATGATCTAGGACTTTCACCTCAGATTTCCAGGAGATTACTTGAAGGATCACAATAAGATCCTCAACTTTCTCCAAATTGTCCTGCTTGGAAACAGCTCTAATGCCACATAGCTGTGCTGCTGTCAAAAGCCATTTTTGCCAAGAAACTACATGTAAAGCCTATGAAAGCCTATGAAAAGCACAGCAGTACATCTTACACAACTGTACACATTAAAATACTGCTCTGGATGTTGCTTTCACTACATGGATAGGTCCTAGTTTACAGTATCACACAAGTATTGTGGGGACATGCCTTTTGCTTCAGGGATATTGTGGTACCAATCTGTAAATAACTGCATGTGTCCTATTACCTAGTATTCCTGCGAGTCCTGTGTCAGCACTGAGCTATGGTGTGGGCATGGGGTGTGCTATGCCTAGGGAGCTGCTGCTGTGGATAGAAAGATAGATTTGGTGCAAGGGCGCTAAGAAGATGCTCAAATTGTCACTGGTATAGAGCAGTTTAGGAATGGATGCTTACCCTAGAGGGACAGAGATCTGGAAAGCTTGTCTCTCTCATGCAATTTTGAGCCTATTATAAACAATAGACCTCGAGGGCACGTTGTTTCCTGTATAAGTTCAGCAGGGTCAGTAAGCAAGTTTTATGTTCTTCACCTACCATCAAAGTCCTGTTCATTATCTCTGCCCTTCAACCTGACACAGCTGAACAGTTTTTGCATAATGCAGATGTTAAGACTCTTAACTGCAGAAAATGAAATTTAAGGGTCTTTCTAACCCCCCAGGACTCCTCACTGAGAGAACTGTTCCAGCACTAGTAAGGGCAACAGTGCTTACCTCTCCCCCATCTACCGTGTAGGAGAGATGTATCTGTTTTTTTCAGCTGAACGTACCACTGCAATTTGAGCTGTCTACTGAAATGGGAATGATTACCTAGAAACTTCTTGAAGTGCTGGAACACAAAACCATCCCATTCCAGAAAGTGGTAGGAGGAGAGGTATCCAGGGCAAAACACCTCCCTCTGTACGTTTCTGGGGGAAGAGTAAATTAGAACAAAGCAAAGGAAAGAGAGAAAAAGCTGCAAGGTATGACATCTTTGCCTGTAGTTTAGGTCGACAAGATACAGGCAGACTGAAACAGACAGACAGGTTATGTTATACTTCTCACTATTAAAAATGATAGGAGTTAAACTGCAAGTAATGATTCTCTGGAGATTGCAAATATATTTCTTATTCTAATTAAAAATATTGTACAATAGCTTACTTTGATAACCCAAATTTTTGAAACTGAGTCACGGTGACTTTTGCAACTGACCTGCTCTAGACAATGTGGATTTGTGTTTTGTTTCCATTTAACAGAAATTCACATTGTAGTCTTTCTCTTCCAGCCAAGGAAATAGCTTTTCTTCTCTAGATATTTTACCCTTTCACTATTTCCTCTTTCCTACCCCATCATCCACTGACAAAATTTTTCATTCTTCATGTTCATAAACTAACCCTCCATGACTTTCTTGGTTTTAATATTTTGAAGAGCATGTACTGAACAGCATCAATCAGCCCTTCTTGTTTTGTTTAATGTCTGTAAAGGTCAGCCTGTTCTCTGAAGAGTAGTTACTGTGTACAGACCTTTCCCTGCAGTTTCACTGACTATAGATTTCTGTCAGCTGAGGTTTGAATGAAAAGTTTACTTATAAGGGAGTGAGTCTCCAAACAAAAGAAAGCTAAAGGGAAATACATAACTTTAGATATTTGATAATTTTGTTGTGGCAACATGTGCTGTCATTTGAGGGTCAGATTATATTCAGCTCAGCTTTGTGTTCGTAGCAATTCAGTGGTAGCGTGCTGGTTTTACGCACTGTGGTTTGACCCTTGGAAAGTTGTTGTTAATTGTACTGGTGTTTGTTTCCTACTCGGAGACATGTACAATGCTTAGAGGGTCTCTCATGCTGCCTAATTTGCTTAAGGTAAAATAGCTGTAAGTTCAGGTTCCTACATAGTCAGGGTTTCCTGCAGTAGGACATTCAAACAGCTGACTTCTCTTTGGTGTCTGGACCATGGTTCTTAAATTGGACACCTAAAACCAACCTTATTTATTTATTTATTTTTATTGGTTACGATGTGTGCTGCCAAACTTCCCATGTTCACCAAAGGGCTGTTGTTAATTTGAAGCAGTTTCAGGCATCCTTCCTACTCTTCTGTAACACTGCTGGCATAGAGTGATTAATAGTCACTGATTCAGGTGCATGATCTTTGTTGTTCAGTGTCTAATCGTTGATGCTTCTTGATGGCCTTGGGTTTTATACATGATTTGCTACTGTTGCCCATAAAGTGGAACCTTTAAAACGTGCTAAGGATCAGAGTTAAAGCGGAGCTCACAAAATCAAATTAACTTATAAAAATGGAGGGATTAGTGAATAGATTGGATTAATGGTATTCAGCCAGCGTACCATGCAGGGATCAGAGCAGCCAAATTTGTCTACTCTGTCAGCCTGGAGGAATTACTGTGATGTGCATGAGAACCAACTGAGCTCTAGTGGTCACTTAGTCATCAATACTTGGACTGCCAATAATAGCAGGGCAACAGCAAGGCAGAAAATCATTTTGCAGGAGAAATAGTGTATGCAGATTGCCTAGAAGTGAAAAGTATCCTTCTGTGATCTGCATGCCTCAAAGTATGAGCTTTGTGCATACTTTTTTCATTTTTCAAGTAAATCTTTTAGTTAACTGATTACAACACACTGCATACTGTCCTTCAAATCACTACAGCAAATGCAGGACAAAATTTCTGTCTTTCTGTACCATTTCATTGAGACTTTAAACACTGTGCCTGGCTTATATGTTATCATGATGCAATGACTGCTGCATTCTCTATTTCAAAAATGAACTGGTTTTATTTTTTTAATACAGCATTATATATGAAGAATTGTAGTATCACATTATGAGCATCCTTACCGAAGCTTATTAAAACAAGTCTTGTCACTTTTGTAGGCTCTTTCTGCCATCAAGCTGCATCTCCCTCTCTCGCATGTTTCTAGCTTTTATGGAATTGGAAATCAAAGCTTAAGCTGACAGCTATTCTGTTCCAGCTTACAGTGAGCATGATCTGTGACACGGGTACGAATGCAGAGCTTTCTTGTTTGATTACAGAAAGCTTAGTCCCAAGCTCCCGAATGAATGTATCAGCTGCTACATCATGCTGTCAAATACCTTCCCAACCAAAGCAGAAAGGCTATATGTTCCAACTTCAGTTTCACCTAATGGAGTAGGACAAAGTAAATAAGAATGTACAGTTTTATATATAAAATGGAACTATTTGTAACCTTTAGCTAAGTTTTATAATGTGAGGTGTACAGGCTAGTGCTAAACCATGATCACATCTCAGAAGATATTGGAGAGCATTTATTTACAGCTGGCTGCATACTTGCAAACTTTACGTGTTATTTCATGCTGGATCCAGAGGAGAAATTTCTGGAGCTTCACCTGCCATCTATTGGCAGAGAAAAGTAAATAAAAAATCATTTGCTTTTTCAAACCTTGAGATACAACATTTAAAAGGCATAGATTACTAGCATGATACTTTAAAATGAAAAATACATGGCCTTCAGTGTAAAAGTAGATTTTTTATTTAAGGCAGATTGCAAACAAATATTTTATTTCAGTACTACTGTAAGCACTCCTGATTGCTTGAAGTGATCACACTGAGTCTGAAACAACGCAGAATTTGATGCATTAGCACCTACAATTTTGGGAATAAAATGAAGGCAAACAAGTCAAAAGGCAGTCATCTGCTGGAGACACTGAGAAGTATCAGTAACTTGACGGAGGCATCAAGACATCCTTGTAAATTCTCAACAGTTAGTTACAGTGAGTAAATGGCAGTGAGTAGTGGAGGAGAGGTAAATAATCTCATTCTATGTCCCATTGAAATTAGTTATTTTGATTTTAAAAAATGCTGATTATAGGTTTAGTTGCTAAATATTCATGATGATTTTACAAGCTTGCAATAAGCCAAATAACAAGAGAGTGTGAAATTGTTTCAGTTTATTTTGTCTTCATTTTAAACATCTTTTTGCTTTGGTTTTCAGTGTAAGACAGGTAAATAGATCAAACTGTAATAGCTCCCTAACCAGTCTTCATGGCACTGATTTCTAAATAAAAGTTGCTATAATGTAGTTTAAGACTAATATCTGATAAGAGCATTAGGTAGCACCAATCTACTCTGCTTGGCTGCAAATACAGATCCAGTATCTCTGTGTGCCCAAGAGATCTCTAAAACCTCTTAGAGACAAGTTTATAAATGCTTTACTTATTGTGAACTACATAGTGAAGGTAAACTAGGTCTCCTCAAAATAAGTAGACTGTATAGCATATTTCAGAATTAGAAGCTTTTTACTTATACATCTTCATTAAATATACAT